TAAAATAGTATTGTGTTATTAATTCAAAAATAAAAAGTTTCATTTCACTGACGAAGGGGGGGATCTAGCCCTCCAATCCCCCCTGGCTACGCCACCGCTTTTTGAGTAGGGCAACAGCAACATGGGGAAAGTTCCTGCAGTGGGAGTATACCCAGAGGTACGGCGGGACGAGCTGCGAGATTAAAGAAGTCCACCCGAGGGTACCGCAACAAGAAAACGATGGGGACTGCGGTGTGTATAACTTAGAGACTATCGAAAGGGTCATGCGCTTCGTCGGACAAGGCAAAGGGGCACCGGGATGCATCGCCGAGCCAAAGCAGCCAGCCACGCAACTAGTCACAGCAACATCCGACAGCCTCTTCGTTGCTATGACAACGCAACATCACACAGAAACATGTCGCTGCGCGGTCGAACAGCTACAATTGAAGGGAGGGATTGCTTGTGAGTGGACCAAACACCACAAGATATCACCACTCAGGGGTAGAGAACCATATTTCTTAGTGGAGGGATTGCTTTTGAGTGCCAGAGCACCACTTACCGACGTTAGCAGTGTGCCATTCATTGGCGTCAGCAGAGCGCTGCCCACCAGTACTAAAGCGACGCCACTACAGCCTAACGTGCTAGTAATGGAACAAGGAACCGGCCCCAGCCACTACAAGTGACGGTACCGAATATTTCCAATTGTTATTTTGTTATATGTTTAATAGTAAGTAAGAGACTAATCTAATAAACTACGATTCACCAGAGCCCCGAAACTACAAATTTATTATAACGAACCCTAGACACGGCGAGTTGACCCCATTATCGTAGAAGAAGCATAGGGGCAACCAAAACGCTTCGTTATAGCAGTATGAAAAATTCGGTTTGTATGGGAGGTGCCACGCCTCCTTTTCTAATAACCACAATTTTTCTCCATGTGAATGAGACCTTTTTCATATATCTCCATACTATGTTCGAGTACTCTCCCATGAATACTTCTACAGATATGCAGTATGAAAAATTCGGTTTGTATGGGAGGTTCCACGCCTCCTTTTCCGAAAAACACCATTTTTCTCCATGGGTATGCGATTGATTTTATCTATCTTGTACATTCCAAGTTCCAGTACTTACTCTACCATGAACACTTCCAGAGATATGCAGTATGAAATATACGGTTTGTATGAGAGGTGCCACGTCCCCTTTTTCAAAAGCCCCAATTTTCATTCATGACTATGCGATTGATAATATATATCTTATACATACCAAGTTCCAGTACTCTACCATGAACACTTCCAGAGATATGCAGTGTGAAAAATTCGTATTGTGTGCGAGGTGCCACGCCCCTTTTTCTAATAGCCCCAATTTTTGTTCATGACTATGAGATTGATTTTATACATCTTCTACATACCAAGTTCCAGTACTTTACCATGAACACTCCCATAGATATGCAGTGTGTAAAATTCATTTTGTACGGGAGATGCCACGCCCCTTTTTCCAATAGCCCCAATTTTTATTCATGACTATGCGATTGATTGTGTATATTTTGTACATACCAAGTTCCAATACTCTAACATGAACACTTCCAGAGATATGCAGTGTTAAAAATTCGGTGTGTATGAGAGGTGCCACGCCCCTTGTTTCAATAGCCCCAATTTTTCTTCATGATCATGCGATTGATTTAATATACATATCTTGTACATACCAAGTTCCAGCACTCTACCATGAACATTTCCAGAGATATGCAATATAAAAAATCAGTTTATAAGGGAGGTGCCATACCCCCTTTTCTATTAACCACAATTTCTCTCCATGTGGATGCGACTGTTTTCATATATCTCCATACTATGTTCGAGTACTCTTCCATGAACACTTCCAGAGATATGCAGTACGGGGTTGTTGCGAATATTCGCATTCGCATTCGCAACTGCGGAACTTCCGCATAAATTTTAACATTCGCATTCGCAATAATCAATGCGGAGCTTTTGCGAATGGGAATATTGTGCAAGTGCAATGTTAGCCAACATTTTCTTGCCTGTGGAGATGCTACGTTTAGACTGTCCCCTACGTCGACCTTCTTTCGTAATTTAAAGTCAAAGAGTAAGATAATAGTAGGTATATTTAAAAGATTACTTTTAATTAGGTAAGAATTATGTAACTATCGAATATTATTTGTCAAAGGTCTGTTGAAAAAACTGGATACATCGCTGGTTTTTTTCTACTGTTTCTTAGAAAAGTATAATTATTTTTTTCTCATAAAACTTATTATTCTTAAGTTCAGTGTTTCTTTTTATTAGTCGTTTAGCGCGAAAACAAAAACATTTATTTTAATTTTGTGTAAATTGTCAAAATTAGCACGCATCGGAATAAAGATGAAATGATATGTAAATAAGTCGACAGCCAAGTTCACATATTAAATAAGAACTAATTCAAGGTGAATTTTATATACATATATTGAGGAGGGGGACTTGGCATGTAATATATCGTTATTAGTATGTAAAGCGCTTAACTCACATCGTCGCTGAAATACAAAAGGTCGTAACTAACTAAAAATCCAAAATTAACTTTTTGATTGGTTATGATGTATTTCCTTGAATCATAAGTCCCCACATCGTTTTAGGCAATACAAAAATTCAGTTAGTTGTAGTTTTTTGCATCTCAGCAACAATGTGAAATAGTACTAGCGATACATATGTTGAAAATTTGCGTTCATTCGCCTCAAAAAATATATAAAAACACATTGAGCGCATGGAATGTAACAACAAAACGGATTTGGTGGCTTATGGTACCGATAGCGGTGAGTAATTAATTGTGACTGCCTCCATCTAGGAAAAGCCGAGTTCAACTAACTAATAAAAAAAAAAAACTAATTACAAGGTATTCATTACAGGAGAGCCTTTCCAAGAAGTCAACTAAGCAAATGTGAGACCTTTATCGTCCGTGATTCCATAATTCAAATTATTATAAAAAACACGGTACCTTTTTAACAAAATTACAAGATTTTAAATTAACTATGCTAGCAGCCACGATTTTCAAAACAGAATTTTCTTCGAAGTTTTCATTCCTAGAAAATAACAATTTATTTGCCATATTCACCTATTAACAACCTCGCTATAAGCGCACATTTTTCAAACCAGTAACAGAAGACAGGATTAAAAATGAATTACAAAAACTAAAATCGAAAAACACTGATGACGGAACAGGTTTTCCAAATTCTGAAACAACCAAAAGAATTGGTGCTCCAAATTGGAGCATAACAGTGTTTAAACAACGATCTTGCCATGATGCTAGGTTGTGAAGATGAAAGTCAGGAGGATACATCCGACATTTGCAGCCCCGATGCAATTCCAAAAAAGCAATTGTTGCACCGCAATAAAAAAAAGAAATATAACTGAAAGTCCTCTCAACTGGTGCAGCGTCAATCGAAAAGAATTTACAATTTTGTCAAGTTTCAAGTTTTTCAAGTTTGTCGCATCGAGCGAGTAGTTATTTAGTGGCGCAGATTTGATTTACGACCCGTTAGAAAACAGGCTGTAATCCGAAAAGGCAGCAAAATTACTCTTTCTTAAATCCAATGTTCCAATTTTTTTATTTGAAGCACTAAATAAAAAAATATTATTAAAAATTAATAACTTTTCCATTTTTTATGTCCGTAAATCCCCTAAAGTACCACCAAAATTATTTCTTAAAAATATTTGACATCCATTCATTTGATAAAATATCAATTTGTTAGCACCCGGATTTTAAGAAACAAGTATTTATTTTTCAACTGTCTCTATTTCGGTACCTGTTGCACTACAAACGAAACAAAAAGCACTACAAACATCTACAAACCATTTCTATCCATACTAAAAATCACTTTGTTAGCAACCGGATTTTAAGAAAAAAAAATTTATTTTTCAACTGTCTTTATTGCGGTATCTGTTGAACTACAAACGAAATAAAACGCACTACAAACATCTACAAACTATTTCTAATCATAATAAAATATCAATTTGTTAGCATCCGTATTTTAAGAAAAAGGTATTTATTTTTCAACTGTCTTTATTTCGGTTCGAAATAAAAAGCACTACAAACATCTACACACCATTTCTAATAATTATAAAATATCAATTTGTTAGTACCCGGATTTTAAGCAAAAATGTATTTTTTTCATCCGTCTTTATTTCGGTATCTGTTGAAATTAAAACGAAATAAAAAGCACTACAAACATCTACAAACCATTTCTAATCATTATAAAATATCACTTTGTTAGCATCCGGATTTTAAGAAAAAAGAATTTTTTTTTCAACAGTCTTTGTATCTGTTGAACTACAATCCAAAAAAAAACAGAAAAACTCACAACCACTACAAACTACAAACGATTTCCTGCAAAGTACACTAGTCAAACCAATTGTAGTTGAAAGTGTGGTGGCGATTTTTTCAACCGATCGTATTTCGTTATGTTGGGTTCGCCTACGCTAATTTTTAAGTTGTAATATTAATGAATTAATCCCAACGGCTTTTTAACCTCCATTCCCGCCCAACCGGCACGAAGGGCGCAGTCGTCCGCCTATCAAACCTATTAAGTTAAGTAAATACTCAATAAAGTAAAGTGAATTCCGAAGAAACCGCTTTTTTACTTAAGCCGCATTGGCCGCTTAGCTTTAATGCAACCATATATACGCAAGAAATCTGCCGCAACATTTACTGGTCCTTCGCACCGGATCGCTAATACTGCTCGCAATATATGTACATTACACAAATACGTTAGTTCATAAGCAAGAGCACAGTATAGAAAAAATCTAAATTTTTTACAAAATTAGTCGCGCGTCGCCCTCTCTGTACAATGGTGACCTTTCAGTGACATTGAAGGACATTCGAACGACTTTGATTTGTCCTCTGCAAACAATTCGCAAAACCAATATTGACCTTCGAAACACAAGCGAAAGGAAAAGTAGCAATGTCAAATTCGGTAGTCACGCGATTATGCGCTTAATACCATCAAGCGGTTCATGGCAAAGAGCATCGATGATGCATTTACGATGGATGCTGAATCCGTGACAAGTTATCTGCAGCTGTTGGATGAGCAATGGACCCGATTCAGCGCAGCTCAAGATGCAGTGGAAAATTCCTGTGGAGCCGACAACGTGGATTTGGAGGATAATGTACGAATTCAAGCCGAAACATGGTACTCTACTGCTTTTGCGAATTTTAACCGGGTACAAAAGTGTTGTACACAACCTCCAAATCAGCCTGCAACCACACAAACAACCATAACTGCCTTAATACGTTTACCGAAGATGGGGCTACCATCAGTTTCGGGCGATTCCACCGAGTGGGTAGGTTTTTATGACGTGTTCTGCTCGCTGGTTGACACAAGCTCCGCATTGTCAGACGGCAAGAAATTGCATTACTTACGCAGCTGTTTAAAGAGCTATGCATTACCGATCATTAGCGGCTTCAAGATCAGCGACGCTAACTACAAGGAGGCATGAGATCTGTTGAAGTTTCGCTTCAAAATCATGCGAGTTATTGTTGATGCGTACTTTAAAGCAATGGCTGACATCCGAAAAGCTGCAAGTGATACTGCCAGTGCTATCAAAGGCGTTCTCGACGCATATCAGCAGCATATTCGCGAACCGAAGGCTTTAGGTCGCCCGGTCGAATTCTGGGACGATTGTTTTGTGCACGATGTGGTAAACAAATTAGCATTTGAGACCAGGAAGCAGTGGGAGCTATCCCTCGTTAGTGACGAGCCCCCAACTTTCGATCAATTAGCAAAGTTTTTGGAGGTGAGGTGCCGATCACTATCGATGCTTTCAGCAGCAGCTGCCGCGCCACAAGGAAGTAAGTCGACTATAGCAAGTAGGTCCACCAAGGTTCTCCACGCACTACCGAAGCAAAACAGTGTGAGTTGTCCCTATTGCAAGGGAGCTCATAAGATTTACTCATGCGATAAATTCAATCCGCTGGATTCTACCGCTAAATTAAATTTCGCTAAAGAGGCACGACTTTGTTTAAATTGTTTGAGCTCGGGTCATTTTAAGTCTCGATGAAATAGCACACCGGTATAACGAACTTGTCGCCAACGCCATCACACTCTACTACATATCGCTGCAGCCTCAACCAATGTGGCCACTACAACAAGCAAGTTCTAACTACGCCGCCGCAGATCCCACTGCACCCGCAATCGATTCTTCGATGGATCCCGCTCGCGGATCCGTTCCTTCGTGCTTAAGTTCTGATGCTGACCCACTACATGTAAACCAATGGACCGTTCTTCTTGTTACTGCTCTAGTGAAGGTGCGCGCTTCCGCCGGTCGTTGGCAACCGGCACGTTTGTTGTTCGACTCTGGGTCCCATGCATCGTTTGTAACAGAGTCGTGTGACAACGCCTGGGTCTACCCAGAACGTCGTCTGCGGTAATCATCACAGGAATTGGGTCATCACAAGGAGGGCGAGCTAGAGGCGTGATTCTACTTTCGCTTTCGTCATATTATTCAGATAAATGTTATGCAATCAATGCGCTGATTTTGCCGGAAATTACGGAAATTTGCCAACGCAAACATTGGCTGAGTCGACATGGCCGCACATTCATGGACTATTCTTAGCAGACCCGTCACATAAACATATTGGTGGGCATGGACGCTATGGACCAGCTAGTTTGTCCGGAAATTCAGAAGGGTCAATTTGGTATGCCTATGACGCAGCGAACGGTCTTTGGCTGGACACTCTTTGGTAGAGTGGTCCATTAATGCCGCGTCTACAGGCATTACATTGTGATGTACGATTAGAAAGAGCACTTACGAGGTTGTGGGAGTTAGAAGGGGCCCGCACAAAATGCATCTGACAGCTGAAGACAAAGGTCACCTGATGGTCGTTTTGTTGTCGAGTTGTCGCTGAAACCTGACGTGCCGCTGGGAGATTCTCGAAGCTTTGCTGTTCGTAATCTGTTCCGCATCGAGAGAAAGTTGGCTGTCGACGACGTGTTACGAAGACGTTACAATGAGTTCATGCAAGAACTCATTGACGTGAACCATATGAAACGGGTAACAACACCGACAAGTCGAGCGTACTACACGCCACATCACCCCGTAGTAAAGGAGTCAAGTGTCAACTGGGACCTCACTCAATGATGCACTATTTGTTGAACCGCAGCTGCAACAGTACTTGATTTCCATACTCATGCGCTTCAGAACTCATCGGTATACAGTAACCAAGGATATCGCGAAGATGTACCGCCAAGCCTGCGTATCATCAAATCACATCGATCTGCAACGCATTGTTTGGCGTACTGCTCCATCATTGCCTATCCAAGACCACCGAATGTTACGTGTCACTTATGGAGTAGCAGCTGCATCCCATCTAGCCGTTAAATCGTTACAGCAGATTGCAGCATATTCAGCAAATAAGAGTAAAAAGGCCGCTGTTGTCATACTTATGGATTTTGACATAAACGATCTACTGACTGGAGCTTCCTGTAAAGATGAACTTCATTCATTTCAACGAAATATTTACGAAATTGTCATCGAGGGTGGACTCGAGCTTCGTAAGTTGGCGTCAAATTGTGTGGAGTGGAAGGATTGTATCTCCAACGCCTCAAAAAACATTTCGCACTACATATCTGATGGGAAAGACGTTCACGTGTTTTGCTTCATTTGGAATACAGAAGACGACTGCTTCACTATCGCAATCAACCTTATGCAACCCACTTCTATTTTGTCCAAAAGAGCTTTCTTCTCCGATGCCAGTACGCTTTTCGATCCGCTGGGATTACTCGCTCCAACTACAATTAAGTCCAAGTGTGGTTTCAAGACATCTGACGTGACGGGGTGACTGGGATGACCTCAACGCGCTTACGCTGCCGTCCTGTATGCACGCATCTTTCAAAGCGACGGTCATATCGCGGTCGCCCTGATCTCGGCCAAGTCTAAAGTAGCGCCAATAAAGCCAACTACACTACCTCGTTTGGAGCTTTGTGCAGCGCATCTTCCAAGTTAGTAAGAAGCGTGTTAAATAGTTGGAATGATCTCCGCTATTCGTTGTACGCTTGGACGGATTCAACTATTACCTTGGCACGGCTGCAAGCACATCCAAGAGGTACTACCACCTGAGTGCTGGAATCACGTCCGCTCCGAACAGAATCCTGCAGAATGCGCGACAAGGGGTATATTAGGGCTGGGTAATTCGATATTCGAAATTCGAATTTTAATCGAACTTTAGCTATAAAATGGCGAGTTTTTAAAATCTAACTTTGTGGTGCTAAATTCGGACGAAATCGAATTTTTCTAAAAAAATCGAATTTCGTCTTAATTTGCAAAAAAGCAACTCTGTAACTTTCTTCTTTCTGACAATATTTGGCATCACTGTGTGTGGCACCATATTTGCATTAGGGCTGCAAGTCTATAAAATACATCGACGTTTTTCGATCTGAGGCAACAAAATATCGATGTATCCTATATTGATATTTTTAATGCGGCGAATGAATCATAAATATACAAGAAAATGGAATAGCTGGAACTTCGATATATGTGGAGGCGTGCAATGTCAATGACATTAATATTCATACATAGATACATAGATATATATATATATTTTTTTAAGTCGGTTTTTTTGCTAAAACTTGTCAATTGTCTATTAATGTCAGCGACATTAATTCGATTGACATTAAAGCACCTCACCATAAATTTTTAAGTATTAACTCAAATTGAAATGCATTTATAGTTACACATCCCAGCTATACTAAGAAATTCATAAAAACTAAATAATATTTCAGATAATTTATGATCTCAAGAATGATAGAATACAAGATTGCGCATTCCTGCGGGTGATCACGTCAAGATAGCAACGAATAGGAAAGAGTAATTGGAGATGGAGGAGAGAAAGATTGTTAACTGTCAAACCATGGAGGTCGCCATATTTACATACATATAAAAATCTCTGCATACATACAAACAGTTTGCTAAAATGACGTCACACGAACAACTGATTATGTCAAATTCGCCAAGAACAAAGTAGCGGTACTGCTGATTGCGCCACCTCTGTCTCCCTACATCTTGTTATGATCTTCAAACTTTATCTAATTCTTGGTTTTCATTATGTCAAAATTACTGACATCGACAACTAACACCTGTTCACTTGGTGTCAAATACATCATAAAAACTGACCAATTGTAGATGTAGTGCATGTCAAAGGCTGTCGTCAAATTTTGGTGTCAGGTGATTGACATTCCGTTTTCCAACACTGATGTCAAATGTGAAGTGCATAGCAAGCAATATCAACGATCAGACAACATTTCTAGCGACGTTGGAGAGAAGAATATCTGAAAAGTTTACAGCGTCGATGAAAATGGTTTCGACCTACACGTAAATTTAAAGAAGGCGATGTGGTAAGTGAGAATACTCCTCCGACGAAATGGGTACTTGCTAGAGTCATCAAATGCCACCCTGGAGCTGACGAATGTGTGAGAGTGGTCACTTTAAAGACACCAAACAGGGAACTAGTTCGACCGATTGTGAAACTGTGCCTTTAGATATGTGTGCGACAAAGAACTAACTTAAGTATTTTGTATTGTTTGCTAATTTTCTTAATTTCACCATACTACAATTGTGATTTCTGAATTGCACGTATCAGGATAGTTCAAAGGTGGCGGTATGTTGGGTACGCGTACGCTAATTGTTAAGTTGTAATATGTATGTATATCATTAACATAAAGGTTAACGCACTAGGGTTTACGACTCCAAACAAGAATTAATACCAATTGTTATTTGACATTTTGGCTGTTCTTTCTTTTCCTTTTTCGTTTTCACTTTGAAATATAACTAGCTATTTGTAGTACTTGTTTTTTCGCTCGCTCAAGTTGTGGTTCGGTTTTTACTGCCGCTTATTAACTTTTTCGCTACGATCTCCCACTTTTTTATACGCGTTAAACCGCCTTAGATAATTCCGTATAAAAACCTATCAAACCTATTAAGTTAAGTAAATACTCGATAAAGGAAAGTGAATTCCGAAGAAACCGCTTTTTTACTTAATCCGCATTGGCCGTTTAGCTTTGATGCAGCCATATATACGCAAGGAATCTGCTGAAACACGTTATCTGTTAAGCTACAGAAAAAATCAAAACCACTACAAACAACT